TATCAGCTGTAAAAACTAGGCCAGGAGCTAATTGTGGAACAGACCACTCATAATGCAAGTTCAAGCTGAAGTTGAGGAAAATTAAACCAAATCCAAAATATGACTTGGAGTCTATCCGACCTGAATTTCAGAACCATCTCAGGAACAGGTTTGAGGCCTTGAACACTAATGAGCGAAGACCAGACGAGTTGTGAGAGGATATCAAGGGTATCATCCAGGAAGAGTGCAAACGGTCATTGCAAAGAAAGAAGAGGAAGCAAAGACCAAAATGGATGTCAGGAGAGACTCTGAAAATTGCACTGAAGCGCAGAGAAGCCAAAGCACAAAGAAGAATTCAAGATACTAAAGAGCTGAACAGAGGATTTCAAAAGGCAGCACAGGATGACAAAGTAAAATATTACAATGAAATGTGCAAGGAGTTGGAGTCGGAAAAATCAAAAGGGCTGAACTTGCTCAGCATTTCTTAAGCTCAAGGAACTGAAGAACAAATTCAAACCTCGAGTTGCTATAATCAAGGATGCTTTAGGTGGAATACTAAATGATCCAGGAAGTATTAAAAGAAGATGGAAAGAATATACTGAGTCACTGTATTGAAAGGAATTGGCAGACACAGAAGAATTTAATGAAACAACATATGAGCAAGAGCCTATGGTGATGAAAGAAGTTCAGGCTGCTTTGAAGGAAATGACAAAAAATAAGGTCCCAAGAATGGATGGTATACCAATTGACATATTTCAGCTAACAGATGCTGCCCTGGATGTGCTCAACAAGTTGTGCCAAGAAATCTGGAGAACAACCACTTGGCCAACTGACTGGAAGAGATCGATATTTGTTCCCATCCCAAAGAAAGGTGAGCCAACAGAGTGTGGAAACTACAGAACAGTGTCATTGATTTCACATGAAAGCAAGATTCTACGGAAGATTATCCAAAAATGACTGGAACAGCACATCAACAGAAAACTACCAGAAGGCCAGGCTGGGTTTAGAAGGGGTTGTGGTACTAGGCAAGTTGTAGGTGATGTTAGATGGATCTTGGCTGAAAGCAGGGAATACCAGAGGAATGTATATCTGTGTTTCATTGACTATGCAAAGGCATTTGACCGTGTGGATCATAACAAACTGTGGCTGACTCTGAGAAGAATGGGAATCCCAGAACACTTGATTGTGCTAATGTGAAACCTATACAGGAGGCAGTCGTCAGAACAGAGCAAGGGAACACTGCATGGTTCAAAATTGGGAAGGGCGTATGCCAGGGATGCGTCCTATCTCCATACCTTTTCAACCTGTATGCAGAACAGATTATCCGGGAGGCTGGGCTCTGTGAGGAGAAATGTGGGGTCAAGATTGGTGGAAGATCTATCAACAATCTGCGTTATGACACAACCCTGCTTGCTGAAACTGAGGAGGACCTGAAGCGCTTGCTGCAGAGGGTCAAGGACTGCAGCCTCCAATATGGATTGAGGCTTAATATCAAGAAGACAAAGATTCTCACCACTGGACCAATTGGCAGCATCAGGATGGATGGTGAAGAGATTGAGATTGTTCACAGCTTTAGTTTGCTTGGCTCCATAGTCAACACTCTTGGTACCAGTACCCAGGACATTAAAAGGCATAATATTGCCATGGGAAAGTCTGCTGTTAGGGATCTCTCCAAAGTACCGAAGAGCAATGGTGTCTCTCTGGAGACTAAGGTGCATCTGATACAGACCATGGTCTTTGCTATCACTTGTTATGCATCAGAGAGTTGGACGATGACCAAGGAGGATAGAAGGAGAATTGATGCTTTTGAGCTGTGGTACTGGAGTATTGAGAGTACCATGGACTGCTAGGAAAACAGATTCATCCTGGAAAGGGTTAAACCGAGTGGCTCCTTGGAGGCAAGGATTCTGAGGTTCTGTCTAACATACTTTGGACATGTTGTATGGAGAGACCGGTCCTTGGAGATGGACATTATGCTTGGTAGGGTGGAGGGACAGCGCAGGAGGGTAAGGTCCTCTATGAGGTGGATTGATTCAGTGACTGGGGTAATTGGGATGGCAGTGTCAGAGACAGTGCGATTGGCACAGGACAGAGCGGAGTTTAGGGTTGTTGTACTTAGGGTCGCTATGAGTCGCAAGCAACTCGACGGCACATAACAACAACAACAAAAGCACGCCCTATTAGGGCCCATCAGGCCTGAAGCCCCCAAAATAGCCTGTAGGGGGTGAGGCTCCCTAAGGAAGGAGTAGAGGTGCCTCATGGAGAATCCAGAGAATCCTCTCCCCAGCTCTCTTCCTCCAGGCCACCCTTTCGTCCCTATTTTTGGGGGTGAGTGTGTCAGAGACAGTACGATTGGCACAGGATAGAGCAGAGTTTAGGGTTTTTGTACATAGGGTCGCTATGAGTTGCAAGCGACTCGATGGCACAGAACAACAACAACAACTCCCATGTGATTTACTGCCTCTTAAAACTCGCCAGAGGGTCAGCTATGAGCAAGGACTATGACAGGAGACTCTGGAGGTATTCTGTCCTGTGTTGCTCTAACTAATAGGGAGCATCCTTTCAAATCCACCAGTAGCTCCAAAGGAGATGGGCAGTCTCCTCCTCTAGTGTATTCATCTCAGAAACTTACTGTGTCACATGGGAGATTGCTCAATTGATTCAATGGCGGTGGTTTTTTTAAACAACTATTATTTTCATTTTATTTTTCTAAATATCTTCAAAACAGTTTTAATTTCTACTAGCTAAAAACCCCATTTCTGAAAAGCTGGGGCAAGTGACTGCATAATAAAGCCTTCGATAAGGTATAAAATCCTGGATGGACAGTTCCCTTGTGCAGTCTGCTCTAAGAGGCACCCAGCAGGTACTGCACTCAGCAGGCTCTGTGTCTTTCTGTTGTTGAGTATGGTTGTGCTCCAGCTCTTTCTCCGGCCTTTGAGAATACAGGCCTCCTTCTCCTTGGATGGCTGTGTGTGAGGAAGAGCACACTATCATACAGAACACCTTCAGTGAGGAAGTCTCAAGGGACAGCATAGAGGTAGTTAAAAATGAGCAACTTCAGTAATAATGAAAGTTTTCCCAGCACGTGGTACACCCCACCCTGGCTGTTCTGATCCATGACGCTGTGTGTCACAGTAGAATGGTGCTCCATAGAGTTTTCTTTGGTAAGCAAATTGCAGCCTTTTAAGGTGCTCAGGAGTGGCCTCATATCATTAGTCCTTTGCTTATAGCCCAGCACTCGACAATGCCACTCAGGGTTGCAGTTAGTCAGAAGTGACCCCATAGCCCCTAACAACTAAGTAGAGGAAACTTTGGGGTGCAGGGTATTAAGTATTACACTGCTAACATTGCACTCATGTCAGCAGTTCCATCACACCAGCTACCATGCATGGTTCAGTAAACACACTAGTTAAAAGCATGACATTTGTGTCCTTAATTGTGACTCTAAAAGTTTTTTCTTTATTTTTTCCCCATTTGATTGCAACTGTTTGCAGCCATTGAGCATAAAAAAAAAGAAATATAAAAATACAATGCCTTCCGTTACAGATAAAAATATGAGACTCAGTTAGGAGCCACCTGCCTGCCAGGTCTCCAATATCCCTGTCACCATAGGTTCCTGTGGTCAGAGCTCAATACCTTGTCTGGGGCTGTCCTCTCTAGAGGGTTGGGGTGCCTTCTGGGTCCACAGCAGACCCCTTAACTTCACCCATGCCACATCTTGCTCTCCCAGAGGCCCCGTTGCAGACAGGTACACCCCTGGTTGGCCCACCTTGGCTGAGCTGGGCTGGATCTGTGAAGAAAGCCGGCTGTAACTGCTTTTAGAGATGATACTTCAGGGTTCGTACAGCTAGCAGGTTACTCATAGGTTATTCAAATGAGAAATAAATAATCTAACTCCTAACCACAGCTGCACAGAGAACAGTGGTTTCTAGGAACAGTGGACAAAACTCCCCAGCCAGCTCACCATTACTGCCGATTGCTCCTGGGCACCCAGCTGACAGACTTAAGTGGCCAGCCTGTTTTTGACAACTCCTGGACACATACATTTCTGACGGGCCCCTACCCTTTCCCCCGCCTGGCCAATGGATGCACAGCCTGGTAGATAGCGGCTCCAGATGGAGTGGGCTGTGTCCTAGCATGGCAGGAGATGGAAAGCAGTTTTCAGGTGCCTGTTTGAATCTGCTGATAGTGGTTACCTCGAAATCTGGGTTGATCATGGAGACCTTGTTCAGATCAGGTAAAAAAAGTCTAGATTATCGATGTCTGCCACGGAGAACGGAAGGTGAAATGATGGCTTCTGTGCTGTGCCACCCACACCACACTTGGCTCAGCACACATATAAGTTTTCTACAGAACTCAGCTCCCAGTAGGTCAACATGGTAAAGGGGAGAGATGAGGTTTCTGGGAGCTGCCCTGAAGATTCTGTTTCTCCAAAAGTCACATATCCACACACTGAACGTGTTTCCCAGGCAGCACCAGCAGGAAGATGGAAGATAAGCATCGTTGACTTGATCCTAGACCACAGCGTCTATTCCGCCCTTTCTTGAGTTGACCCACCTGCCCAGCTATGGCCAGTGATTTGGTCCTTCAGATCCCTGAATATGCACCATGGAGGAAAGTCTATGTTCTTTATTCTCCAGAAATTCCTGGTGTTGCTACTAGGAGGGGCAGGAACTGAGGTAGACCAGATCTTGTCCACATATTCCCACAGCCAGCAACAGATGCAAAGAGCTGCAAAGAGTTTCAATGGACCAGTGAGGAGCACAGGCAGGTTCTCAGGACATTGGCCCCAGACCCAGACAGTTCGAATGAGAGCGTGCCTCTGGAGGATGAGGTAGAGCCTTGATGGCCACCAGAGCTAGAGCTAAATTAGTGTTTAAAGAAGGCAGGAACATGGATGATTTTTGAGGATCATCGCTGCCAGTACTGCCTGGAACCTGGGGATTTCCTGCATCTGGAGAGAGGTTAGAAATCACCTGGGCCTGACTGAGGACGGTGTGAGGGCTACAGCAGGTTCAAGTTCACTGGCAGCCACAGGAATCAACCACCATGTTGCGCTGCTTACGCAGGACGACATTGTTGTTGTTGTCATAGTAGAGCACCGAGGCGGAGGACAGCTTGGTGGGTGCACAGCTTGGCTTGGGGACGACATCAGGCTTCATCAGGTGAATCTGGCCAGGGAGGTTGGCAGCAAAGGCATGAGCTTGGCAATCTCCCAGACCCTAGGACTGCCCGCTCCCCATGGAGCCCTGACGTGTGACTCCACTCCCTAATGCCCCATCCTCTCCTGCAGACAGAGCAGACGCTAACAGGCACAGCTGACCTTGCCCTGTTCCTATGGATTCTACCTCCTCAGAACACAGCCTGTCCCCTGGGTTGATGACTGAGGTACCACCCTCCCCTCACTCCTCCCTGGAACCCCTGTGTGTCCACAGCCTTCAGACATGGGAAGCCCTACTGTTCACAACACAACCAAGCACCTTGTAGCCTTTCACTTCATCCTTCTCATATCCCTGATCAAGTCTTGTCCAGTGTTTAGTTGTGGTCAACTATTTATAAGCCAGTCAATGTTCATGGAACATTCTAGACATTCAGGGTTGACCCATGAGTTCGGCACTCTCATTTCTCTAAGTACTTTCCACAACTAATAAAGCAAGCACTGCTCTGTACAGTAAAGGAAACAAAGGCACAGGTCCCTGCGTGGGTGTGCATGACTGTCACGTCCATCTGTGTGTTTGACCACATGGAGGTCCGCCCAGATAATCCCCGAGTGTCTCATATGTATGTGCATATGCAGTGCGCAGACTACGTGTGTACTTGACTTTTAGTCTACATCTGCAGTGCATATAGGCCCAAGTGTATTCTCTGTGTGTGTGTGAATTTGTTTTTAATTGTATTATTTTTACGTGTACCGTCAAATCAGATCTGACTGGTACAGGAGGAGATTGCCCCCTCCTTCTCCAGCAGAGCATCTGGTGGATTTGAACCGTGTACCTCTGGGATTGCAGTGTGTGTGCGTGAATTTAACGTCATGTATGGATGCAATGCAGCTGTTGTCATTCACCTCCTGATGATAGCTGAATGCCCTGTGTCCACCCCATACCTGGGTGGCAGGGTGGGATCAGTACTGACCAGGGACTGCATGAGGGCGTGGTTGGTGGCATTCATGCAGGCGTCCAGCGGGAAGAAGCAATCTCCCTCACAGTAATAGGCCAAGTAGCCTTGGGGGGCGATGATCCAATCCTGAGAAGAGGGGGAAACTGAGTCCAACACATGCCCCTTCTGAGCACTTGAGTCAGGGCTCTCCTTTGCTTCCCAAGCCTCAGGACCAGTCCTCCTATGGCCTCAGATCACCCCAGAGGCCAGAGATTCCCAAAGGCCCTGTGCCACTTCTGACATTCCATTTTCATGATTAAAAAACAAACAAAATTAACTTTCTCACTAAGAAAGTAGCACTTTGAATGCTTGGAAAATAGCAAAGATAAAGAAACAAAAATCACCCATGTTTCTCCCTCTTCCCCAGAGACATACTTTGCATGGAAAGGTCAATAAGAAAGGCAGGAGGTGAGGAGTTACCAGCCATTTGAGGTCTCGGAAGCTGACGTAGAGCTCGTGGCGTCGGCAGGGGAGCCGCCTATGGGAGCCATGGACGCCATCTGTGAGGACAAGACAGTGAAAGATCTTTTCTGGGTCTCACTCTGTCCAGCTACCTCAAGAGGTTCCCGGGGAAGGGAATCTCCATGGGTTGAATAAAAAAATGATGGGAGCTAAACTAAACCGTAAACTCAGTTCATGCTATAGCCCAGTTCAAGAGACTCTGATGGTTGTAAGGTAACCCTACCACTGATGGCTCAGCTTCCCTACCACTCCCTCAGAAAGGCCCCTTGGCTTCCCCAAGAATGAAGAACAAGCTCATCATTTTTCCTCCCCAAAGACCTCCTTGTCACTCCCTATCCCCCCTTCTCTAGTATATGCATTCCATACTCATAAATGCTCTTTGCAGCAACAGATAGGGAAAACGGCAGATCAGGCCTCCTGGGGAAGACTTCCACATAACTATGCTCAGAGAAGAGCCAAGGCCTGTAAGGGGCTGTGATTTCCTGAAGGAGAGGTAACTGGTTCTCCTAGAGAAGCCAGGTGAGAGAAGACAGAAGAGCTGTACTTTCTGGGGACATCTGTTTAAGCTTTATGATGGCATCAAGCTACTTGTAAGAACTGATAGTGTTTAGTGAGTGCTGCTCTGCTCTCTCCTAACAACCAGTCCACTGTCCTACTTTAGCTGGTTCTGCTGTCCTCCTTGGGAATCTGTTTAGCTGTGAAGTGTGTAGGGGAAGAGTTAAGGATTTAGGGGGAAATGTAGCAATGGGGAGAGTACAGAGAGTGGCAAAGGTCGGATGGAGGTTTCTGTGCCACCCCCTGGCTCCTGCATGGCCTTTAGTGCCAGGCCAGCCCTGGTCCTCACCAAAGATCCCTGGGAAGTTGTTTTGCTGCAGCAGCTTATTGGTTTTTTCCAGCACCTTGCTCCTCAGCGACCTCACGACCCGGGACACTGGGACAGGATTCGGGCTCGCCCTAAAGAACGTGACCATGAAGGGCTGTTCTGGGCGTGGTGCCCTGCGCCCCAGTAGACCAGCCAGGCTAGGCTCCACACTATGTCCTGAGAGAGAAACAACAGAGGGTGGTCAGAGAGGGGGTGCCCCTGCAGGTACATCTGAAATGCAGGTGGGAGTTCCTTGGGGACTGTTACGAGTAATGAGCAAGAACATGAGTGATGACATTTGCAGACACGTTAGCAATTTTCCAAATCGTATGGACACTCATCTCAAGCGACCTCTTAACATGTTAACTTCAGAGTCAATGGCCAACGATCCTCAGCCTCGGGATTCTGAGGTTCTATCTTCCCACTCACTTTACACACTGGGACTAACTAACTTTTTGTGGACATCTTTTTAAGCTTTATGGTAGCAACCAGCTAATTGTAGGAACTACCAGTACTTTGTAAGTGCAACTTTGATCCCCAAGGCTCAGGATGGAGACACTTAAGTGAGGTCCCTGAACCAAGTCTTGACCCACATAGATGTCTTTCCTGAGATGGTTTATGGTTATGGAGAAAAGACTGAGGTTAACAATTACAGCTTGCTCATCTCCACAATTAACACCCTTTGCACCTCTTAGCACTGGCAGTCAGGAAAAAGGACAAATTACATTGGGAAAATCTGCTGTCAGGGACCTGTCCAGAGAACTGAGAAGCTACGATGTCTATCTAAAGACTAAAATGCATCTAGTCCAGGCCACGGTCTTCACAATTACTTGCTATGCATCAGAGAGCAGAGCTGGACAATGACTAAGAAAGACAGAAGAAGAATCAATGCCTTCAAATTATGGTGCTGGAGAAGGGACTGCCAAGAAAAAGAACTGTCTTGGAGAGGGTGAAACCAAATTTCTTCTTGGAGGCTAGAATTTTGAAGCTTTGTCTCACAGACTTTGGGCACGTGGCCAGGAAAGATTGGTCGTCGGAGAAGGACATCATGCTGGAAGGGTGGAGGGACAATGCAGAAGAGGAAGACCCAGATGAGATGGATTCATACAGTAACTAGGGCACTGGAGATTGGTGTGTCAGAATCAGTGAGACTGGCTCATGACAGGGCAGGCTTCAGAGCTGCTGTACACAGGGTCGGCAACACTACGGTGCATAACAACAATAACATATTCAGGGGCATGATTTAGGCCCAGCCCTGGGAATAGGGAAGCCCTTAAAAGAAGGGTTTTTATCCCACAGGTTGAAGATGTCACATATGAAACAAGGCAATTAGCCCTGGACAACACCAATGAGACCACTTTCCAGTCTGTCTCTTAACATTATACAAAGATTCTACTCCAACCCATGTTGGCACTATAGGACAGAGCAGATCTTCCCCCAGTTTCCAAGGCTGTAAATCTTTACAGAAGCTGACTGCCATGTCTATTACCTATGGATGTTGATGGGTTCAATCCACTGACCTCTCCGTCAGCAGTCAATACTTAACCACCATGCCACCAAGGCTCCTGTCTTGCATTAACCCACTGCCAGCAAGCTGACACTGACTTATGGTGACCCTCTAGTGCAGGGCACAACAGCCCCAAAGTGTTTCCAAAGCTCAGACTGACTTCATCTTTCTCTCTCAGAGCAAGTAAGCTCACATACTGCCAACCAACGCTCCTTTTCTTACACTAAAGGTTCCAGGTTAAATAAGAACCTTAAGTTCAAACTTACCTATTAAATTTGATTTAAAAACACATTTAGGAATGGATCTCCTTTATACCTGGGACTGCTTATAATAAATAACCTTGGGAATGGAAAAACATCAGCAAAACCACCCTCCTGTCTCATATTCAAACTCTTTTTTAAATTCTAAAAGCAATACAAGCACCAAAAGAGCTTACGGGGGGAAAAAGAAATATCACTCAGAAGTGTCTAAGTGTCCTCTGTTCTAGCAGGTTCACTTGTTTTTCCAGAGTATTTGCAATATACTCTAGAATCCTAATCTCCTGATCTGCCAGTGACCAAGAATGTTGATTGTGGATCCAAGTGAGATGAAGTCATTGACAGTTTCAATCTTTTCTCCATCTATCTTGTATTGTCTGTTGGTTCAGTGGTGAGAATTTTTTTCTTGAGGTTGAGACGCAATCCATAGTAAAGGTTGTAGTCTTTGATCTTCTGCTGGTGTAGAAGGCAGGCACCCTGGAGTCCTCCTCACCCTCCTGCACGGATCCTCTCAGCCAGCATGCTCTGGGACATCAGCTCTAGCTCCTCACCAAGTACTGGTGCTCACAGAGGGGTTCTCCCCTACACAGGAGCAGATGATGCAGCGGACCTGCTTGTTGGCCAAGAAAAGGCCCAGACCAAAATCCTCCTTGCAGACAGTGTTGCTGACCACAGAGAGCCCTTTCACCTGCGTCTTCAGCAAGGCCTGGATCAGGTTCTCGGGGATCCCACAGAGGCCGAAGCCGCCCATCAGGACGGTGGCCTCATGAGGGATGGTCTTGATGGCCTCCAGTGTTTCTGTGTAGAATCTGGCCTGGTGGTGGAGACTGGTGGCAGGGAATAGTGGTGGGGACTAGTGGAGAAGCTAAGCAAAGCAGTGCAAAATTAGGTGCCACTCAAGCAGCCAGCAAGGATGCAGAGCCGTAGCCCCAAGGAAAGGAGCCGCACTGCCATGTGGAATACACAATTGGAGGTCCCACCTGAGAGAGCCAGGGGGCGAATGACTGAGCCCCACGTGGGGCCCCCAGGTCCAGATACCTCCCCTCCCTTGCCTTGTTGCAGAGTGGGAGCGCTTACAGGTGCTGTGGCCAGACCCCAGGGGTGGGAAGAGAAGCAGAACTGCTCTCCAGGTTCTCCTTGAAGACTCAGGCAAGGGGCTGGGCCACAGAGTGGTTGAGACTGGATCCCCTGCAACCAAGATACACCAGCAGCAACTCAGGATTCGGCCTTGCATCTGAGAAAGGCTGGACACCAGGGCCATGCAAGTCTCAGGAGCCTCAGGAGAACATGTGATTCCCAGCGTCTTACCATCTTCTGTTTTCACGTAGAGGCGAAGTCCAAGGTCCTTGTGGCGGTTCAACAACCAGTGGTCACGGACTCTCGTGATATCCAACACAAGCCAGCCCTCATCCTCTGGTTGAATGATCTGTAGATCCAATGGTAACAGGTCAGCTTCCCTGTAAGGAGAAAGAACAATGAGCTGGGGCCTCGCATGCTTTCACCAAAGAAGGCATTCAGATGGCTAACAAGCCCATGAAGAAATGTTCAAAATCCTTAGCTCTAAGAGAGATGCAAATCAAAAGAATTATGAGATATCTTCTCACTCCAGTCAGAATAGGAAAATTTAACAGAACAGCAAGCAACAAATGCTGGAGAGGTTGTAGAGAAACTGGAACCCTTATTCACTGTTGGTGGGAGTGTAAAATGGTGCAACCACTGTGGAAGGGGGTATGGCACTTTCTCAAAAAGTTGCAAATAGAGATACCATTTGACCCAGCAATACCACTACTGGGAATATACCCCGAAGAGACCATAACTGACACCCAAGCAGATATATGCACACCCATATTTACTGCAGCTTTGTTCACAATAGCAAGGAGTTGGAAACAACCTAAGTGCCCATCAACAAACGAATGGCTAGAGAAGCTGTGGTATATTCGCACAATGGAATACTATGCTGCATTAAAAAACAAGGAACTCATGCAATATTATTAAAAATGGTTGACTCTGGAGAACATTATGCTGAGTGAAATGTCCCAGTCACAAAAGGACAAATATTGCATGATGCCACTGTTGTAGAATGGGACTAACCTCGGGGTTGGGGAGAGACTGAGTAAGATGGGTTCAATAATGTATACTGCACTGAAACAGAGGAGGGAGAAAACTGTTTAAAAGAGATATGTGACTAGGTATTTCTGTCATCACAGGAGTCTAGAGCAACGGCTACATGGTGGAGGGGACCTGGGGGAGGGTTTGTAAAACAATGAAAGAATCTTTTCTTTTACTTTTCCATAACTTTTGACTCATGCACTTTTAACTTGTTAGTTAAATTTGTGTCTTCTAGGTTGCAACACCCCCATGATACATCTTCAAGGATATGAACATGTACGGCTAAGCACAATTAATAACAGTGCATCTAAATCCCAAAATCAATCTCCATAATAGTCTATGTGTTTCCTACTGCCAAAGGGGCCCTTTAGAGTAGTGAGAGAAGATCTTCACCCTGAAACCCACAGCGTCCCTTTTCAGCAGGAAGTAGCTAAGAGAATACGCCATCCCCTTTCCCTTATGAATCAGGGTGAAGTCTCTCTCAGGGAGGAGTGATAGGGAATGGCAAGGGACACACTGACAAAGGAGATTAAACAGAACTGGCTTTGACAAGCACTGTGGCAATTGGACAATTAAAACAGACATTCGGAGGGCGGGGGAAGAAGAACAAACTGGGGAAGAGGGTAGAGAGAATGGTATAGCAATGAAGGAATGAAAACCCAAAATCCCTGTAAATGTTCATTAAAACTAATAAAATTTAATTAAAAAAAAAAAGGAGAGGAGCAGACTAGGGGTGTGGTGGGTGGGGAGAAAAGTGCAACAATGAATGAATGGAATGCCAAAATCTCTGTAGATGTTCACTGAAATTAATAATAATAATAAATTTTAAAAAAAAAAGGTATTAGTGTACCCATGCACTCAGAGGGAAACTGAGGACCTGTCCAAAGTCCCAGTCAGGAATGGCAGTGCCAGGATTTAAAACCAGGATTAACGCTGAGGCTCTTTACACAGAGCCAAGAGGCCTCTGGGCCAAGCATGTTAGAGTCAAGCACAAGAAAGGAAAACTAGCATTTCCTGGTCAAAACCATGAAGTCCTGCTAGGAAAAATAACACTCTTCCCTGGTCTAGCCTTAAAATCTCTTGACTAGGAGACCACTGGTAACAGGCCAATGATAAACTGACAAGTTGATGACTGGTAACCACTGATCACAGGAAATAAAAACCAATGGCACCTAACAACCCTCATCCTGAGGGTCAGACCCATCCGGTGCTGGTGTCCTTTCCTTCAACAAACCTGCTTGCTAGTGCTATTTTTGCTCTTTTTATTCTACTGCAGTCACCCCATTTGCCTCCTCGCAGGACCTGTGCCGCGCCCCCCACAGGCAGTGAAGAGGCCTCTGGGACCTTCCGCACTGTCATGTTTCCTGTCTCCGCTGCTGCCTCCCTCCCCCCAGGAAGCTTCCTCCCTGTCCTCTGACATGTGACCTCAAGGGAGGGGGCACACACCTTTTGGACTGCTCCCCGAGCACCTCAAATATGCTGAGATGGAGGGTCCTCTTGACCTGGTGGGCGCTCGGCACCTTGTAAATCCGGAACTCAGCGGCCGTAACTGCTTCCCCAGATGGGATCTGGGTCAGGTCAAACCAGAACTCCTTCCAGCAGGGCTCCGTGGGGGTCAGGGCCTGGTCGTGCTCCACTGGAAGACAAAGCAGGGCCATGGTCACTGTAAATATCAATTCAAAGCTGATTCCTATCAGGTTATGTCACACCAAAACAAAGGCTCACCTGCCAGATCACCTGGGCACATCACCCAGGCTAGGTGGGTGCCTCTTCATCTATACGGGGGTTCTGCCCTTCCACTCTGTGTTAGGAGGGACCCTGGGGGTCATTAGTAAGACACTCTGTACAGATTTTGGCCACATGCAGCTTCCATACCCCTGCTAGTTCCAGATCCACAGGAGACAAAAAAACTTCCCCCTCTGGGAGCCGCACACTAAAGGGGAGACATATCTCCCCTTTAACCCAAGGGAGTAAAAGGGCCATATCCCCAAGTGTGAAACTTGGTGGATAAAGGAGTAACTTATCTGTTAAGCTGCTGGATATAAGTGACCGCTCACTAGGAGCGCAGCTGGCCGCAGTCTGCCCGATATTCCTGATTGGGAAGAGGATAGAAGGAGACCTCAGAGCTGACATTTGCTGGACCTTGAGGGATGAGTATGACTTTGTAACGATGTCAAGGAGAGACCATGGAGGTCTGAGGACGTGCAGGGCCTAGAGTAAGGAGCTGTACTGCAATCCCAAAGGCACACGGTTCAGCTGCTCCGTGGGCAAATGACCTATCTTCCTCCATGTGATTTACTGCCTCTGAAAACCCACTCGATCAGCTATGGGTTGGCTCTGACTTGGTAGTATAACATAAGCAGGTAGGAATCAGCTTTGGATTGACATTTACTCATCCTTCCTGAAGTAGACCCTTGTCTGCCATGGGCCACCCTGCTGGATTCCAAAATACCATAGCTTCCAGCATCACAGCAATCTACAGGTTACCCTGACAGACAAGAGCTGCACTAAACTAAAGAGCAATGACCAAACAAACATACACACACCCAAGCTGTCAAAAATCATTTTGGAGAATTGACAGAAAACTGTTGTACCTCTAACAGCAAACCACAGAAATAAACATGTATACAAATAAGGCACAGGACAGCCTTCACTGGCCCTGCCTGAAGAGGTATTATCGGGACAGAGTCCCTGGTGCTAGCTCCTTCTCTGGAGTGTACTGGTTTTCTTAACCAAGAAAGATGTTGTTGTTGTTGCTGTTATGTGCCATCGAGTCGCCTGCGACTCATAGCGACCCTATGTACAACAGCCCTAAACTCCGCTCTGTCCTGTGCCAATCACACCGTCTCTGACACTCCCATC